CTTTACCCCATCATAGGGTCATGTTTCCTTGCTTACAAGCATGAATATCATCTTTCAGATTGGTCAATTTTATAGCATTAGCTTGACCAAACCTATCTTTCAGTTCTTCCGACAAATTTTGAGCTACTTCATGACTTTGAACAGTGCGTTTGATATCCTTATGTAGAGAATTGATAATCCATCAAAGGACTATAGTGTTACAAGCATCCCATGCTCTATACCAATTAGGGTCAGTTCTAAAATCTGGGATTTCAACAGATCCATCACTGAAACCAAGCTTATAATTGGTTTTCAGGGCTATGCAAATAGATCTCGCCCACATATGATACTTACTACCATCTAGGACTGCACAAATGATGGACTGAGAGAGATTTTCGTTAGGATTCTGATAGAAAGGTTTACCAAACTGGAAATCGGGAGAGGGTTGAGAGGATTATGTTGATCATTTTATTGCTGCGCTTGTGGTTGAATGAACAGCTGAACTAGACATGGATTGTTCTTCACCACCACTCATCGTGACTCAAAGCTGTTGCTCCATCCTGGACCAGGATTCCTGAATGGCGCCTTGCTCTGATACCATAAGAGAAACGGAAGAAGATTGAGGATTTGGGTGGAGGAGTAGTAGAAAACCTATTGTCCTCTCTTTAGTGTTTTTCTATTTATATCAACTCACAACGACTAATACACAGTGTTATCCATTGACCCAAGCCCGACACGTGGCTGGTTTGGACTCGTTATTGACAAAAAAATCTGAACTTAAACAAACTAAAGAATAATGGATGAAACGACGGCGTAATAAGAAATGCCACTTTAGTTCTAGAATTTCATTCTTCTCCACTTCAGTCCATCGTGCTAATACTGATGAATTGCCTAAATCCTTGCTACATTAGGATTGCAATGGATGACTGTAGTAGCTGTTGTCTTTCTGGTACCAGCTCCCTGTTGGTCTTCCAATAGAGGATGCTAGGATGGATGGGGTGGTGATCAACTTGGCAAGCTTTCTGATTGGGACCGAGCCGAGTGTTAACGATAGCAAGTTCTTGTTGCCTGCTTTGCTTGACCCTGCTTCTTCCACCTCCTCTATTGTGGGGTGAAATTTCCGGAATATATGCGTTGTATATGTACAAACTAGCTGTGAACCCGACTAATTGGCCTGATAGTTTGATTTGATTGTGTATATTTGTTGACTTTAATGACTTTTTCGTATTTGAAATCTTTCATGTTCTTGTTGTCCCACGATATTTCAATGAAATTCATGCGAAAGCTCAACTTATGGGCTAACTTCACTACAAACTACTCAATACTCAAATGAATTTTTTTTTTCGTGTAGCGCATAGCCAAAGCATATTTTAAAGTCAAAATACTTGAATACTAATCGAGGAATATTGAATGTTTGCTAAGTCAGACATATATAATGACCAATAATCAATATATTTTTGTGACTAGATTAAATTAAGATAGTTAAATTAATTATCAAACTTGAAGTTCAACCCTCACCAACAAACTTTGAGTTCTCGCAAGAAAACGTCGCCAACGTTGGGTTTTCGACGATATGATCTACTTCTGGCTCCCCAAATCCGAATCAAACCATATACCTAGACTCCCCATCTCTAGGCACTCCTTCCACCATATTTTGGGGAGATTTGGCAACAATTTTGTCACCGACGAGCACTTTCAAGCGAGCCTTCAGAAAGTTTCCGGCGACCTTCTGATAACCTTCTCCGGCCATTTTTTTGGCCGAATCACGACTCCTTCGCCTCCTTCTCACCTTTCTCATCGATCCTACTTGCGTCTCCATGTGTGTTTTGAACTTTTTATTTATCAATTTTGGAGAATTGGATCTTGAGTTCTACGGTGAAGAGAAATAGGATTGTTGATTGAAATGATGAAATTGGGCAAGGGATTTGATTAATGATAATTGTTTGCATCTATCTAGATTGGTTGTGTGCTTGTTTGTGCCTTGGTGGGCATAATTTTGCATGTTATGGTTCTTGATACCAAGTTATGCATGTTGAATGGTAGCCATTGAGACATGATGTAGACTTGAAAATGCAACCTTATTGATCTATGAAACACTTAGTTTCATGTTTCGATGTGTTTTAGGGATGTTTAGGCTTATTTGAAGGTGATCCGAACTTGTGAAAAGCTTATGCCGGCTTGTCACCTAGTTGGAAAAAAGTGTGGGGGATTGATGTTTTCTCCCCAATATGCTTTGTCGATGAAAATTCCACGTATTGGGCTTGAAAATTCCAATATCAGGGTCTCTAATTCCAGGATTCGTAGTGTCATCCTTCCCCTCCTCAGTCCTCACTAGGATAAGTCTCCCTAGGATGACAACTGCCAGTCATGAGTGCCATGTTGGCACCATACTAATATCACTTCACTTCTCTCCCCCATGATTGTAGACTTTTGTTTCTTTTTTCTCTTTTGTGTGTTTGATTGTGAAGTGATTAGTTCATTTTTCATGTGATTTTTGAATATTGTGTTTATGTGATAACCTCGCCGTTGGCGAGCATGTGTTTGTGTTTCTCCGTGCGAATCTCTCCCTCTCTCTCAAAACTTTTCCAAATCCATTCTGAATTTCACTCGCCAATGATTTGGTAACTTCGTTCCACCCTTATTCTTGCTCCATTGAGGGAAAATTTCGTGCTTAAGTGTGTTTATGTTTGGGGGGTGTTGAGTATGTATGTGAATGGCAAGTGAATAAAAATGCGATGAATGACTTGTATATTGAATGCTTTGGAGCCTTTATATTGCCCAAATTCCTACAATTTGAGGGCCCCGGGCACTTGTGGATGAGTGATTGAGTGTTGGCCTACATTATGAGTGTATTAGAACCTAAGGTGTATGCTCAAAATTTAAAATTTTAGGGGTTTCACACACATTGTCCCATGCATGATTCATACTCACTTCACTTTGAAAACTTTGGTGGCGTGCATCATAGGGAGGAGTGTGGTACTACAAAGATTATCAATCATGAGTGACTTTACTTCTATTTCCTCTTGGTTGTGTTTATATTGTTTGCTATTGAGGTTAGGACAAGTCTATGGGACTCTCCAGGTAAAATACCTCGGGTGTCACGTAAGTTTGAGAATTGGGCTAGATATACCACTCAATTTTGAATAGGGCGTCGGATACCACTAAACTATATTATATGTGCACCCGGTACCACTTAAGTTTACTGATAAGGGCATTCTGTTAAAGTTGACAGAATATTCTTGGAATATTTTGTTTTCTTAATTTCATAATTGGTCCTACTACTTTTCTTATTGTTAAACAAATCATTTGGACTTCTGAAAAACATCAATTTTTATTGTTTAGTTAGAATCCTCTTTTGAATACTTGATACCAAACCAATTTTTGAATATAAAATTTAGAATCAATTATCATTATAATTATTTTTAATTATCATTATGTGTTCTAATAATTGTATTATAACATGAATGTTGTAAGTAAACAATATTGTAACTTTTATAGTCATATTTTATTTTCTACATTTTTTACCGAATGTAATAGCTTTTATATTTTATTTGTTATTTGGTTACTTTTCATCTCTTTTCGTTCTTAATATTTTCAATTAGTGGAATATGTTTAATTTCTTCAGATTGTATTTCATTCCCTCTTCGATTTTGATGTATTGATGATCGATTAGATTCTATTTTAACTATTTCTAATGGTGATTCTAATTGAACTAGGGGATTTAAATAGATATTCTAATTTTTTTATTTTTATTTTTTATTATAATATTATAATATATTTATTAATAATTTTATATTATTTTATTATTTTATTTATTTATTTATTTTATTGAAAAATTTTGATTAGTCATTCTAGTAATAACATATTTATAAGGTTTTCTAAATAGTATATTAGATAAAACTTGTTGAAATATAGTTTTGGATATTTTTAAAACTTTTGGGTATCAAAAAGTAATTAAAAGTTTGGGTTGGATGGAAAAGTAGACATATGCACATTTTGGCGACATTAGTGGTACCCGACGCCCTATTCTAATTTAAGTGGTATGTCTACTCTAATTCTCAAACTTAAGTGGCAACCAAGGTATTTTACCCGGACTCTCCCCAATTTCGAGCTCCAATTTTTATTTTATTTTTATCAAAAAGGTGCTCCAATTTGAAAAATATTTTGAAAGCATGGACCAGGAAACGGATCGGACTGGGTGGTTGAACCGTAAAAACCGGAAATCGGGCCAAATCCGGAATGATACCTGAAGTGCAGACAAATTGCCGTACCGGCCAGTATTTGTGGTCGAAATGGCTTCTAGCAAAATACCGGCCGGTGTTGATTCAACGGCCGGTCCTTTAATTACAACGAAAAATCAACCCACTTGCACAGAACTCTGTCGTTTTATTTGAAGAAAATTAAGAAGAGATTCGAAAATAACAAATTTCGGATTTCCAACAAATTTTGGATTTCCAAAATCCTAACTTTTCATTCTGGTTGACAATCGGATCTAGCCGCCCCCAACGAAAAAAGATTCCAGGGTCAAGCCCCTTCTCGTCACCTGCTCTTTGTCTTCTCCCTGGAGATCTGATCCACTATTCTCATCGTTTGTCGATTCGTTGTTCCTTAACGTTCGTCGATTCGTCGTTTGTCTTCCCGAAGGAAGCAAGGACAAGGATTCTTCGTTCTTCCTCTCCCGATTCATTCTCCTTGTGGTTTGTTGTTCATCTTTCCATGCCGAGCTTATTCGAGAAGGCCGCGGCGGAGAGATGGAAGTTCCCGACCGAGCCGATTGAAGAACATCGGGGGGATTGGGAGAGAGAGAGAGAGAGAGAGATGGAGCCTAGTTATTATTTTTTGGGAGAGTTTGGTTAGAGAGAGTGAGGTGGAGCGGCGGGGACGGGTGAGAGAATGAGATGGGGTAGGTTGTTACTTTTTAGGTTTAGGGTTAGCTTTTTTATGTTTTAATTATTATTATATATACTAAAGGTAAATTATTATATTTTAATAAAAAGGAAAATACAAATTAGTCTTCAAACTTTTTACTCTTAAGCTTATTAAAAAAACTTTTTTTTATATGAATCGGTGGGATCTTTATTCATCAAAAAAGCGTTGTTAGCAACACCCTTGCTAACTAGGGAACCAAACCAAGCGTTGGGAAACAAAGAAACGACGACCTAACCTCTGAAACAGAACCTTAGTTTAGACATTCCAAAATAGGCTAACACGCTCACTACCCAAAACACATTCAACTTTTGATTGAATCAAGTTCAACAATTCATGAAAACCCTTAGCACCATCCCCATACAATCATCTACAACGCTCTCTCCATACCTGATTTATCCACGATTGGCAGATGAGTCTTTCCGCTTCAGCAACTTCAGTATGGTGGCTAATCTTTGAGACCATCCACGAAAGTAGTCCCTCCCATGTCTGAAGTAAAGGAACTTGCAGAGAACCACTAAAAAGTGCATCAAGGAGATGTCTTGTGAAAGGACAGAGTGCAAACAAGTGCTGCCTACTCTCAATCCCTCCACCACAGAAAGCACAGGACATAGGTCCCATAAACCCCCACTTCTACATTCTATCTTTTGTATTAATGCTACCTCTAATAACCAACCAAGTAATGACACAATTTCTGGGAATAGAGTTGCCTTTCCAGACAATCTTCCACCAATCCACCTTCTGCTGAGTAGGGCGAATGAGATGCCACACTCTCTTAATAGAGAACCGAGGCATAGGAAGGCCATTGAGAAGTAATTGTAATGTTGAAGTGTGTATAATTGTAATGTTGCATGTTGTTGACTGTTGTAGTTATTTAATAATTTACAACTTAATATCAGGTATATCTCAGTTTTATTCCGGTATTATTCCGAAAGAGTATTATGATTTTGTCGGTACGATATAGTTATAAAAAATTTATTTTTTTTATTTTAAAAATGGTATTTTTGCAGTACAAAATGGTTGAACCACGGTTGTACCACAAAATACCCTACTATAGACGAATCTGGTATGACTTCTGGTACAGTTTCATGGACCATGTTGGAAAGATGAGTGTTCCCACGTGAGAGTCAACCAGACATAGTGTTTGAGTTAATCCCCCAAAGAGTTATTCTCTTGGTCTAGAGTATCATTTGAGGATGTGCCTGGGGATCATATAGCTTCTTAGTACCCAACCATCATTATTTTCTAACTTCCACCCCGTACACTTCTCCTCCTTATAGGACATGTATAAGAGGAGATCGTGTGCCTCTGCGCAAGTTAGGAGACCTAGGTTCTCGTTGTTCCCTCACATGTGGCAACTTGTGTATCATTGAAATGAGAGTGCATGTTGGGAATTGCTGCTTGAGAGATCGGGACTTACGCTCAAACGCTTCACCTTCCGACCATATTCCATTCTCTCAACCATCACTATCCCCACATGAGGTTTATAAAGAGAAGTTATTGTACTTCTGCACTTAATCAACAGGGAGAGAACCTTGTTTGCAAATGTGGTGCCATGTTCAGCAAAGTTAATTTGAGGCACAAAGTTTGATTCATCTTTTGAAAAATTAGGAGCACAACCATGGAGTCCTCTCTCATCGCCAAATCTCCCCAAAATCCAGTGGAAGGAGTGCCTAGAGATGGGAAGTGTGGGTATGTCCTTTGTTTTGGATTTGGGTGGCCGAAAATAGATCACATCCTCAAAATCTCATCATAGCTGACGTTTTCAGACAAGAATTCAGAGATTTTCGATGAGGGTTGAACTTCACGTTTGACATGAAAAAATTATTCATTGAGTATTAAATGAATGGTTATGAAGTTAGCTCATAAGTTGAGCTTTCACATAAACTCTGTTGAAATCCAACAAGGCTACATGAAGGATTTCAAACATAAATGAAATAATCAAAATCAACAAATATAAATAATAATAATAAAAACACATCTGGCCAATAGGGTGGGTTCAAAATTGGTTTGTAGGTTTGCATACACACCAAAGTTTTATCCTGTGATCTCAACCCACAGTGGAGCATGTGGAAGTAGAAGGGTCAAACAGACCAGGCACCAAGAACTTTCTCCCTTTTATCCCATTGGCATTGTAGCTTCCACCATTCTTATCGTCCTTGAGAAGCTCCCCTGCAAATCCAGGGTGTGATCCTTTCCCGAACACCCCTGGACAGGCCGACCCAGCCTCCAATGGGGACTCTTTTGGGCCCTGGAAATACCCATCCCCAAATGGATTCGTCACGGTCCCAGCCAGCAGGCTCGCCAAGTTGATCACTACTCCATCCATCGCAGCATCCCCATTGGGCGCAACCAGGACCGGGCCCGGAGGCCCATTGGCAGCCTGGTGGAACGGCCACTCGCACAAGCCAGGGCACTGAGTCTCCGAGTTCCCCACCCAGATGTAAACCGATCTCGACGACGAGCTCTTCCCGTTAATCTTCGACAGCGAGGGGACAATGCCGTGGTTCCCACACTTTGCCCTGCAAATACGAAATGGCAAAAATAATTGTACTCGTGAATATTGTTGTCCGAGCCCGATCTAATTGATAAAAATGAAATTCGAATCAGAATGATTTTTATTAGGTATACATGATTTTTTTCATTGTCCAATCCAAACTTGCCTAATAATCATTATTTTCTCAATATATTTAATATTTATCGTTTTCATGAAATTGTATTATTTTCTTAACCAGCTTTCTTCGTTCTAGTAATTTGTTATGGTAATTTTTCACTTATGCGAATGTTAGTATATGTGTTAGTTATAATGAGAAATTATTATCAATGGATGCAGGTAGATAGCCGAAACCCTATTGGATTTTTGGCAATAATTGTGATATTCTATTCGATTCTTGTAAGATATGGATATTGATAAAACTCGAACTATTTTGAATAGGATAACGAATATGCACTATATGCACCTAGACCCGACCCGTTACCTGCAAAAGCCCTCAACGACGACGTCGTTGGCTGTGATAACCACGGGAAGTACTGCTCCATCCTCCTCGATGTTGCCCTTCTTTGCAAGCTCAACGAGTTGGTTCTGGGTCAGAGATTTCCCCAAGGAGTAGTCGTCGTCGTCGATCAATTTGGGAGAAAGGGAGATGGAGGGCAAGGTGAGGCCGTTTTTGGATTTGAGGGTCGTGTAGTACTTGTCCAATAGGTTCCACCAGTTGAAAACAGAAGGTGGCGGATTATCTGAGGCCATATCGGCGTCCAATGAGGCAAGGAATTCCCTCACCGTAACCTTCTGGGCGGGTTTGAAAATGCCGTACCAGACGAGGGTGACGGTGATGTTGCCGGAGAGGAGATCGCCGTTGTGGTATTCGAACGGAACGTCCGCGGCGGAGATGTGGGACGTCAGGGAGATGATGATGATGAGCAAAGATGCTAGGGTTTGAAGGGGACGGTGATGATATAAGGAGGAAGCCATGCCTGCGATCGATATGAACTTGATGATGATAATTTACTGGTAGGGAACACACAGAAAAGTGTTCATGGGATTGGTGATGGAATAGAATGATCAACGTTATTTGTTATATATAACTAGTGATTAGCTGCGCGATACTACCGTGCAAGACATAATAATTAAGTGGTTTGAGAAAATTGGAAGTTTAAATACTTACTGAAGAAAAACTACGGCCATTAATTTTCACACATATTTCGCATTCTTTTTATTTTTTTTATAATGATTAATAATTTGCTGAACTGTTGACGTTCTGATATTTTTGGAGTTTTAATTTAACATAAATAATTCTAATCAAAATTAAATAGGGAGTCAAAAGTCAAAATCGATAAACAATTATATTGGGAGAAGCTAGGGTGCTAACTCCTATAGGAGTTAGCATCATCCTAACCATTATTTACAACATTCATTCATGTTTTAAATCCAAAGGTGCTACTTAATTAAAGGGCAATTTAGGACAAAATGGAGAAAAAAAGAGGAATTAACGCTGATTTTTTTGGGAAATTGGCGAAGTAAGTGGGAAGGGCACTCCAAGTCTGTTACAACTGTCGAGGGTTGCATTAAGTTTTTTTCCCTGAAAATACAAAAAAATAAAATTCTTTCGCAAATACAATGTAGATATCCATATTATAGGAAGTAAAAAATGCTGCTACTCTTCAAAAAAACTCCTTATCCTGCAAAAAAAACTACAAATGAAAAATGAAAACTATGTTTAAAGTCTTAAAGTATTCCAATGTTATAGCAAAATTGATAAGAAAATAGCATTATCCATCCATTTTCTACGTCATAAAAAATGTTTGTTAACCGACATACTCAAAATTTATTGAAGGAATATCTTATTCTCTCAACAAATAAAATTATAGCTCTCATGTGTTACCCACCCTGCTAATGCATATAATCACATCAATACGGCCATCAAAACTTTAGCCCGACATCATGACTTGCATTTTCTATGGTTAGTTATATTTAACTGAATAATTTTCAATAATCCATATAATTAATTATTCTATCAAATAAAATTATTAAATAAGTGAAACATTCTATAAATTTGGTTTTTAGAAATTGTGTTCTTTCCTTCTCTCTTCTTTTCTCTCTGAAAACCTAAACGAAATCGCGATGGTGGTCGTCATTAGTGGTCGATCTTGGGTGTCGTAGTTTGGAATTCTTGAAGATAATCATCTAGATAACTAGAAACAAGAGTATGTGAACGGATAGTTAAGAATTCCAAGGGAGGTGATAGAAGAAGGGTCGAAGCGTTGGGAGAATTGTTTGGTTGGACAGTTCATCGATCGGTAAGCATCAATCTCTTCTCTCAGGTACTGGGAAAACTGGTTGTGGGGTAGGGATGATGAGGTCAAGGTCTCTTGGATGGGGCGGTGACTGGTTCTATTCCAAATTCTCAAGGTGGAGATCTGTCAATGGGTGTTCTGGAACTGACCATGGCACCACAGTGAAAATTTTGTTTTTCTTCACAAATGGGAGCCAAGGATCACCATCCACTACTTCCAATTCAAGGTGCTCTATTGACATATGCATAGATTATCTTTCTAGGCCAAAGCATGAATCACTAGAATGTGATCAGGACTCAAGTAATTCAGAGAAAGTACTTCAATTGGATATAAATCAATCAATCATTAAAGGCAAAGGGTTCATATAACTCATCCTAACATAAAATTTACGGTTTGAAATACCCAAGTGATAGAGGGGGGTTACCCCATAGAGAGAGAGCGGAAAGCTAAGCCGAATGTGGAAATCATCTTGCCGAAGGAAGAAATCGGCACCGGGTCGTCAATCATCTCTCCTTGAGGCTTGAATCGAACTCCAATGGTGTAGAATTTAATCTAGGGTGCTCAAGAGTCTCTCTTTGTCACTTTCTCTCTGTGAACCTCTGTTTTTTCTCCAGAATTTGAATCCCCTCTCCAAAACCCGAAATTGGGTTTAAAACCCAACACTGCTTGATCACACGGCCAGCACACATGGCCGTGTAACATCCTTGTCTGTATGTGTAAACCAAAATGCCACGTTCCAATTAGTTCTCTGCAGGCTCTACACGGCCAGCGCACAGTCGTAGCTAAATCATGCAAAGGAAGAGTCAACCTATTGTTCATGAATCAAAGCGTGACACAAATCGTCTACTCACACACCACAGTCAACCATGCATAGAGTTCAAGTTACTAGAATCGAAGACTGAGCAATCAAGGTCCGCAATGGTATATAGAATATAAGGAAATGAATCGCTCACTCTCGACCAGTGGGGTCAGGACATTTGATGCGAAAAATGTGCATGCTTTTTCTCTTAATCCTAATGTCTCTTCACCATGATGGCAACCTCTAAATGCTAGAGTTCACATATCGGGTGTCATCGCCAGCTAGTCAGGAGGTCTTAGACACGGGTTCAGATGACTGGTTAGGGTCTTGGACATGGGGAAAAGGCCTTTTAGGTGGTGGAAGAATTCATACAAAAGGTTCCACATTTCCAAAACCAACACAACAACATTCATTCGAACCATTTACTTCCTTTCTGCTATTCTGTAACTTAGGTTCTTGAGAGCACTGACTCGCTCTTACCGTCACTCTAGAAAATGGCCAAGTGTAACCACTTCCTAAAGCGTAGTATAGCGGGTTTGTATTTTAATGTCAACCCGGGTCCTAGATGTGATGACTACTCCGTGAGTTCTTATTATTTAGCCGTGAAACTTTAGTGAAAATCCAAACAAGAAAACAAGCAAAGCAAGTAAAAAGGTTGTTTTCAAGTCGAGAGAGGTCACTCGGATATGGTTCCCCCTAGACTGCAGTTAAGCCAGATTGTAATTTACCAAGTTCAATTTCAATGATAGTTATACTGCGGGAGGTTCTTAAACAGTCTGAAGTCTCGACTAAAGGTCTCCAGACCCTCTCAAACAAGAACAACCTAGCGTGAAATCGGCCTAAAACGTGAGAATCGACATCCCAAACGGCTCAAGAATAGGGGTAAAACATGTCCAATTAATGGTCTATCAAATTCCCCCACACTTAACCGTTTGCTTGTCCCCAAGTAAACCTAACTCAAACCAATGCAACTCTCCAGACCTCTATAGCAACAAACAACCCCGATCGTCGGTAGAGGGTTTCCTAGATCATATAGCAGCGTACGAGGTCAACTGGTCTTCTAAGACGTTCCCTATCTCTCTCAATGCGAGTACTAGACTCAAACCAGGATCATGAGAAGAAGTGAAAGTAAGACAGTCAGTTCTTGGATAAAGGGACTCACACCATTCACAACCAAGGACTCGTAGTACCGGGGTGCTCTTTCACTTCATTTCACTGTTGGAACCCCTTTTTCTCACTTTCCTTTACACATTTTTTCCCCTTTTTCTTTCATTTGGCGGGGTTCCAACTGCAGTCTTTTGCACGGTCGACCCTTATTAGTCGAGCAAGAGCAATTTATGTACATCTAGTGCGTGCCAGAGTACTTCTTTTAACTCCTTTTCCTCAACTCGTGTGGAGGGTCAATGAAATTAAGGGGGGTCGGAAGCTCTATCTGTGCCCTTAAAAACACATCCTCGAGTAGGCAAACCGTTCAACGGTTGGAAGTTTTACTTGTACTAGAGACAACTTAGCTTCACCTTGTAGGAGTACCCCACTAAGGATCACTAAAATCTCCTCCAAAACCCGATTTTGTGCAATGAACGGCGCCACACACGTTGGGCTTACCCCATGTTTAAGATTTAATGATTTTGACATGGAGGACCAACTGCATTTCATTTTTCACATGAGCACCCTATTCGATACACGAGTCCATAACACAATCCAAATGGAGTCACCATTATCACATGAATTAAACGGTCTTATACTTCAACTGGCACAACAGAGAGCTAGATAGGAAAAATCTTATACTTCAACATCCTCCATAGTGCTACACTACCTCCCTAGGTTGCACATTACTATAGAGACTGTCAATTCAAAGCATACTGAGAAGGAAATTTGCAAGGAGACACGTACTTGGAGCCCTCAAATCGAAATTTGGACAGTGGACTAGGCTCCAAGCACACAAACAAATCTAATGCAGTCAAAAGAGAAACATCCCCCCCACACTTAAGTTCGACATTGCCCTCAATGGAGAAGAGGGAAGGATAAGGGGAACGATGTTACCGGTGTGCACGGACTACATGAGACTGGAAGGGAACCAGTCTGAGTGAAGAGGACTGGAGAGGGGACCAGTCAGGGACACAGGCACATCTAAAGGAAACAGAAGAACTCAAACACAATACGTTAGGTCCAATGGTCATCCCAATAGTATATCATCTAAAAAAAAAGAAAACAAACCAAAACCAAACCAGTTTGCAATCCGACCCAAAACAAAAGAAATAGATGCAAACCGTGGTGGGGTTGCCTCCCCACAAGCGCTTCTTTACCGTCTTGTAGCTGGATGCCCATGGCGGAACTAAGGGTCCGCGAGTTCCACTACAAACTCCGCACGCTCGACCTCGTCTCCCAAGTAGAGCTTGAGACGATGGCCATTTACTTTAAAGGGTTCAGTCTGCGGGTTGACAATTTCAATCGTGCCATACGGGAACACCTGTGTGACCGTGAACGGTCCAGACCACCGGAAACGGAGTTTTCCGGGAAAGAGCTTCAGGCGAGAGTTATAAAGGAGAACTCAATCACCAACCTGGAACTCTTTCGGACCCCACAACCATGCATCGTGCAGGCGCTTAGTGCGCTCCTTGTACAGCTTTGTGTTCTCATAGGCGTGATAACGCCATTCCTCCATCTCTAGCATCTGAATTTTGCGTTCAACACCTACAACACTAACATCCAAGTTGAGCAGCTTAAGGGCCCAAAAGGCCTTGTGCTCTAGCTCCGCGGGCAAATGGCATGCCTTTCCATAGACAAGCCGGTACGGTGAGGTACCAATGGGTGTCTTGTAGGCAGTGCGGTATGCCCAGAGAGCATCATCGAGTTTGGTGGACCAATCCTTGCGGGATTGATCCACCGTGTAACGTCCCGTTCTGGCAAAACCCATATTTCGATCGCTAGAAAGTTCGCGATTTAAAATCGAGTATTTTGATAGTATTTCGGCGAAAATCGGATTATCGATCGATCGGATAAGTATACGTATTAATTATATATATATATATATATATATATATATATATATATATATATATTAAGCGGCCGGACATATAAATTAAATTTCCCCCGTC